TGATTTAGAAACGAGTCCGAAAAAAAATTACTTCCAAGAAGGTTGAGGATTGTTTGAGAAAGAGGTGGAATTAATAAAGAAAGAGGAAGAAGATGAAAGGTTAACTAAAAAGGAAGAGAAGTTAAAAAAAGAAAAGATCGAGGAAGTAAGCAGAATAAGTGAATACATTGAAAAGATTAGTAATAACTCAAAGTTACGCTCAAACGCAGAAAAATATACTCAAATTAAGAAAACCAAAAAAGCTCTTTTTTTGGAAGAAGAAAAAATTGTTCAAAACATCAAAGAGTTAAAAAACACAGCTCCTAAAAATACCGAGATAATTAAAATACCAGGAGCCGAGAACACAATGGTTAAATTAGTCGATTTACCTAATTTTGCTTACCAAATTGCGGAATTTTTGTGAGACACCGACCCGGAAAAATTTGAGCAAGCTCTTTGGGAAAACTGTAGGAAAGGGCAATTTTTTGAAAATTTAAGCCAAGAGTTAAAAGAAGAACATTTTTGTTATATAAAAACAGACAAAGGTGAAAAATTACCTGAGGATAAAACAAAGTTAGCGGAGGTTATTCGTATTTATAGGAAAATTCAGAGCCAATGCTGGGGTGCTTTTGTTGATTGCTATTTTGATAAAGAGAGTGGTAAATGAATGGCTAAAGTTATGAAAAAATTCAATCTTCCGCATCTAATTCCCGAAAGAACCAAAACTAGAAGAATTTTTTTTTCTAAAAATAATCAGCTCTCCATTAAGGAAAGATATGAGAAAGAAATTAGAGAAAAAATTGAATATGAAGAAAGGACGAATTTTCGCTTTGACCCTGTCAATTTCTGAGAAATTATTTTTCTTTTTCAGGAAGTTTTTCCTAAGGATAGACTAGAAGAAAATCCGCTGTTGCAAGAAGATAGTGGTTATGAATTAGTAGAAAAAATCGTGACCAAAAGAGGCAAAGTTATTTATAATAGCATTTTGGATAACGTTTATGAAATTTACTGAGGAGGAACACCACCTTTATCTCGCGACGAAGCTTTCCTTTGAGCAGCTCGCCGAAGAAAATATTTTTTTGAAAAAACTGACACTGAAAAAATCGAAAAAGCGATGGGAAAACAACCTAATAAAATGATAGTTGCCCTAAAAACTTTTTGAGGAATTTATCATAATGAGGAATTAATGAAGATAGTTAATAATGTTAGCATTTCCAATATTAAAAGGAAACAAAGAGTAACCAATCTGGAAGTTGAACAAAATAAATTGCTTTGTTTAAAAACTTCTAGAGTCTCCAAACCCGAATTTGAAAATGAAACAAATAGGAAAATAAAGCAGAAAGCAAAAAAAATAACCGAAGAAATAGTTAAGGAAGAAAAGAATGAAGAAATAAGAAACAGTTTAATTAAAATTGTTAGTGATTGTGAATTAAAAAAAAGTTTCAGAATTACTGGTAGGTTTTGGTACCTTTTTGTAGGAAAACTAGGTGAGAGCCGAGGCAGAGCAAGTGAAGAAGAAATCAAATTACTTTACAATAGTTACAATTCGCATTTAATAATTCAAGGATTCACTATGGAATCTATCTACGCTGATTTTGAAATCAAAAGCTTCGATGCCTGCCACTGCCTCTTTAAATTCGACAAAAAGAAAAATCGAGAATTACTCGTTTTCACCGAGGAGATTACCACAAAACAAAAACAAAGAACAAAACTTATTCAAGAAATTCAAAAGAATATAAATGAAAGAAAAGAAAATATCAACAATTACAAAGAAAACTTCCAATCACTAATCCCAGATGCTCCGGAACCAAAAGCTCCGGAAACTACTTGGACTACGCTTTTTTGAGTGGGCTTTTTAGCCCTTATTTATTTTGGTTGAGATAAATTCTGAGCTTGATACGAAAAGCCGGTTAAAAAGGAATGAGATTGAGATGAGGAAGAGAAAGAAGATTAGATAGGGGTGTTTTTGGTTATAAACTTAATTCTTCTTTGGAGAAAAATCGGTATAATTCGGTATAATATACAATAAAGAATATTATGACCGATTGAAAAGAAATTCATCCGGATTTTACTCTTGAACTGCAAAGAGAGTGAGAAAGTTTTGAATTTACTTTTGAAGAATGTAAATGATGAATTAATACTAATGGTTCTTCTTATTTTCAAGCTCGAGCTATTAACGAGCCAGCTTTTTACGCTTGATTAAGAGAGAAAGAACTTGATGATGAATGAGTTTTGAGTTATTACGAATTAAAAGAGCAATATTGTAAACATTTACATGAAAATCAAAATGATAATTTGGTAGAAAACGCGGATAATGATTACATAGAATATTTAGAAAGTGAAAATGCAAGTGAAGGAAGGGGCGAGCCGTGAGAAGAAGATGAAATTCTGTCAGGAAAAGAAGATAGTGAGCAAGTAAGCAATGTTATTGTTTCACTTAGTTGAAAAGATATTCATAAGGGGTTTGGTGGAACAGGTGGATTAAGCAGCGGTAAAACTTACCAACAATTATGAGAAGAATGTGGTTTCACCCACCAAGAAGCCCGAGAGTGGATTAAATTAGGATTTGAACCATGAAATTACCGAGAAGTTAAGAAATGAAAAAATCACAATTTTAATCCACAAGAAGTAAACGAATGAATTAAGTTGTTGGGTGTAGAGAAAAAATGAGACTATGAATTTGCGGTTTACTTAAGAGGAAAAGGCCATCAACCCAGCCCTGGTTTAAACTCGAAACAATTAAGAGTCGAATTTAATATTCCTAAGAATTATTTAGATTGTTTTTATCCTCCAGAAAAAAGGGCGGAAATAACTAAACTAAGTATCGTAAGCAAAAACCTAACTGGTGAGTTGGATTTGAGTGATTTTGTTAATTTGGAAAAATTGAATTGTAGTTATAATTATGAACTCTCTTCTCTTAATCTGAGCAATTGTCTTCGATTAAAGAAAATTGAGTGCATTCACAATAGTCAACTAACTAATCTTACTTTCCCTATTAATCTCACTAATTTAAAAAAACTACGTTTAATTTATAGTAGTTTAGAACAAAATTTATCCTTTTTAACCGGAGCTGTTAATTTGAAAGAACTTGATTTAAGAGATAACAAATTCACTGGTTCCCTAGATTACTTAAGCAATTTAAAAAAATTAGAATACCTAGATATCAGTAGCACTGATATAAACGAAGTGAATATCGATAAATTACCCAAGAGTTTAAAATGCATTGCATATTCCACTACAAAAAGCCCACATTGCCAATTAACTTCCATTACTCTTCAATTAGAAAAGTGTAAATATGCCTTTTGCCAAAAGTGTCAGCAACCTAATACTAGTGAAGATTGATGCCAACCTTGCATAGAAAAAGAATGACAAAAAGATATAGAACACTCAACAACGGGACAAGAAGTAGTGGAAAAGTTTATTCAACAACAAAAAGATTTGCAACTGCAATGAATACCTTATGAAAAATTTACTGATGTCAGGTACTTGGCCGAGGGTGGTTTTAGTAAGATATATAAGGCTCTAAGTGAGAAAGAGAGAAAGAATCATGGGAAAATGATTACGTAGTTCTCAAAATCCTTAATAATTCTCAAGATATTACTCTGGAATTTTTGGTTGAGATTACTACTGGTAATAAGTTGGTTGCACTTAATTCTGTTTGGTGTTATGGTATCTCCCGGGATCCGGAAACTAAGAACTATGTAATGGTAATGAAATATATGAAAAAAGGAAATTTAAGGCAGTATTTACAAAACAAGAACAATGAATTAAGTTTTTATGGTAAGCTTTGAAAGTTAAAAGATATTGCTAATGGATTAGATTGTGTTCACCAACAAAACTTAGTCCATCGTGATCTCCATAGCGGAAATATATTAAATAACACTGATTGAGATACTTCTATCGCTGATTTCGGCCTAAGCCGACCAGTTAATTTCCAAAAGGAGGAAGAAGGTGGAATTTTTGGAGTTCTTCCTTACGTAGCTCCCGAAGTTTTGCAAGGGCAACCATACACCCAAAAATCAGATGTTTATTCCTTTGGCATAATTACTTATGAACTCTTGGCTAATGAATATCCTTATCCAGAAATGGATGATAATGACTTGATAGTAGGGGTATGTTTTGGCAAATTAAGACCTAATATGGATAAAATTCCTATACCTCAACTGCTCAAAGATTTAATTAAAAAATGTTGAGATGCTGACCCTAAAAATAGACCAAGTGCTGAGAAATTGCTTGGGATTATTAGTAGTTGACGAGAGGAAATTAGAGACAATAAAGACACGGAATTTACTCGCCAATATCTAACTATATGAGCAGAATACGACCACTCTTCCAAAAATATTCCTTACCAAATTTATCCTATGGCCATTACTACTAGCAAACCAATAAATACTAAGCTGATTATTGAACAACTAAAGAATTATCAGGGTTCTCAAAACATAAGCGTAGACATTCCGAATGAATTAACCATTAAAACAGAACAAGGGGAAACTTCTCCCCTAATTAATAATTCTGCTGGCTCAATTAGACACCCCAAACGGCAATTATCTCTTGGTTCTCAATCGCAAAATAACCAAGGGGAATCTAAATTTGTTAAAGAAGAAACCGAGTTAAGGGAAGTAGATATTCAAATTGCTTCTGCCGGCATTACTGAAAAACTTAACCGATCTAATTTTTCTGAAAATGAAATTTCATCACATCAAGAGCAGCAACAATTCCAAGCTCAAATCCAAATTCCTCCTAAAAATAACTAGAAAAATGTATTATGGTTAAGGTTCAAGATTATATTGATCAAAATTATCCCAAAGCTCAAAGAGCAAGGGTGCAAAAACTAGATCTCCGTAATCTTGATCTCGAAGGTGATTTAGATTTAAAAGACTTTACGCACTATTGCTTTAAAGTAATCGTTGTTGGCAATCCTCGCTTAGGGGGAATAAAAAATAAATCTGAGTGGTACACTGCCATCGTTAACAAAATTTATTCCACTACCCAAGAATGGTTAGAGCAAGAGTATTCGCAAAAAGAGCAAACAAATGAAATTATCTTATCAGGAATAGAATTTGAGCAACCGAGCGAATTACTTATTAGTGATTACCCTAATGTAAAAGAAATAAAAACCGAGGGCTATTGCCAAAACGAAATTTACAACATAACCAAAGTAACTATTAATAATTGTCCACAATTGGAAGAAGTATGCATTCCCAACTTTTCCAATCAATTTCTTAGTTTACACCACTTACCCAGTTTGAAGAAATTTCGTTGTGGGTATGGTCAACTCACGGGTTGCTTGGATTTAACTCCTTTTACTAATTTGGAATCAGTGCATTGTTTTGGTAATCAACTTACCGAAATAAAGTTACCGGCCGAGAAATTAGAAGAATTAGCCGCCAGCGGTAATAATTTTGGCCAACGCGACCTATCTTTTTTAAGTCATTTGGTAAATTTAAAGGTGTTGCAAATAGGAAGTAACCAACTTGTTGGTTCTTTAAAGCATTTAAAAAGCTTAACTAAATTAAATTTTTTAACTATTTGCGACACCGATATTGATAGCGGCTTAGAGTATTTGTCTGAGGAGTTGACTACCGGAATAAATTGTTATACCACCAAAACTCCGGCTGGAAAAGTTCAAGCCATTGCTAAGCAACTAGCTCCTTATTATAATGATATTTCGGCTTGAAAAAAAGCTAATCCGGAATTAGTTAATAACGCTAAACAAATCAAAGAACTAGGTGTTTTGAGCAACAATTTACAGTTGGCTTTTACTAACCACACAAATACCAACAAGGTAAATTCTCTCTTTCAATCACTGGATGCTTGAATAAATAACGAAATAACTTATCTTGAACAGCAAAATCAGCGAGTATGGGAATCCAGAATTCAAGTTTTTCCAAAACAAAGCTAATTATTTAAGTTGGAAGAATTTTTTTCGCTTCCCAGCAGAATATCTTCCTCGCTCTCCAATCTTTCTTCTCATTTGCTCTCGCTAGTTTTGGTTATTCCGAAATTCTTGACAAAGTTTTTTTCTAAAATAGGTTCTAAATAAAGATAAGAATTGTTTCTCAACAACAAATCGATTACGACCTCATTGCGTTACTGTCTTGGTTAAAACTTCTTCGCCTTGGTATCACAAACGATTATTATGAGGTTCGTAGAAAAAGTGTTTGCCGAATTTTTTCTTTTTACTGGCTTTGACTTGCTTTTTCGTTTTCATTGGCTGAGAGCAGTAATGGTTTCCTGACTATATTGTTGACGATTGCTTTTTAACAATTCGGTAAAAGCCCTCCAAAAACCATCGCTTTCGGAAGCTAAACGCTTTTTTAATCAGGCTCGTGGGAAGTTGCCTTTCTAATCACTTAATTAATCTTTCGGCAGCTTCAAAATCTTTAATTCCTTCTGTTCCCAAAAGATTGTTTCCGTTAAATATTCAGTTCGTTGAAGTTTTTTAGGTTGGTGGACATTTGTTCGCCACTACTTTTGTCCACACTATGTTTAATTTGCTTTTGCTCTTTAGTAAATGGCGTAATTATTTGGCTAACTGGTTAGTTAATTTTTCCAATTTCTCATAATTATCTTCGTCCCCAAGTCTCTCTTGGAGGAATTTCATTTCGTGTTGTAAATCTCCCCAATCACTTGAGGTTAGCTCACTAGACTTTTTTTGGGCAATTTTTTTGACTTCTTTCAGACTAGTTTGCAAGCCTTTTGTTTCTAACTGATATCAGTCTAACATTTTGGTAACTAAATCTAGTATTTGTTCTTTGATCTCTTTTTGCTTCATATTTAATATTATAAAGAGTTTATTATCCCAATTTTACGAGTAAAAAAGTTAGACAAAAGCACCAAACAATTCGCTTATGAATTCGTATCCAGAAAATGGGCGAGAATTTTTCGTAAAATTTTAGGCAAAAAAACCCTAGAGAACTATCTCGCCTTGAAACTTAAATTCGGAAGAATCTCTTTTTTTCCCCAGACATTATTTTTTGACAAGCATTGAGTAGTTGGTGATAGCAATTTCACTAACAATTTGACTGATGAAAAAGAAAATGTTGATACCAAATCTGTCTGCAACTAAGCAGTGTTAAAGTTAAGTAATTCTGGAAGCAAGACTATATTTTTAGTGATAACGATTCCAATCCAAAATCCAGGCCGAAATAACTTACTGAACAAAAAAATAGCAGGTGGAACAAGATCTTTTTGTTAATACCATTTTTTGTCCGCAACTCTTAAGAAGTGCTTTCAAAAAAGCGGAACCAAATCTACTTCGACAAACGTTGGAGAAAAAGAGGTTAACCATATTAACCATTCTGAACAATTGGCTACTGAACAAACCGAACGAGAGTATTTAAACTCGTTGTCGACATTGATGCCCCAACAAAAGTCGTAGACAAAAAAAAATACTTTGTTAACAAATCACTTAGCAAATTGCCTTATATTTTTCCTGTTGAATATAAAAGCATACGAGAATAATAATTACTTAACAATTTGCTTAGTTTTTGCTTAACAAGAGTATTTTAAACGAACAAAGAATTTTAAGGAGTTGTTTAGTTCTTATTATAAAAATAATAAGAAAGACTTTTACTGGTTTATTTTTAGCTTTTTGTTCAATCGGCGATTAACTTGGTTATTTGGATTTCGTTAATTCGTTTGCGGCTCATTCTTCCTCTGGTATTCATGACATCTTTCCTTCTCGGTGGCAATCCATTTGGAAGTAAAAAATTAGGATTGGCCTCTATCTTTTTAAGTTCAATCTCAAAACTTCACGCCTTGGGCTCTCAACGGCCATTAATATAAACATATTCTTTGCCTTCAACCATTTTTCTTGAAGTATCTGTTTTACTAAGAAATTCGTCAGGAACAACACGACTAATCTTGATTACCTCTGATTTGGATTGTTCCTCTCGTTCGGCCTTATTTTTATTTTTGTTGGCGTTAACGGATTCGACATTTGGTGCTAATTCGAGTTCTACTTGGTTAACAATTTTGGGTTCTACTTTGCTTAAGGCTTCTGCATTTTCGTCCACCTCTTTTTTTAGGTTGACACTTACTTTTGCTACCGATTCTAATACTAGTGGTTCGGCAACCACTAAATTAGTGGTGTCCGCAATCAACTTGGGCTTACTATTTTCAACAGACACAAGTACTCGTCGGTGTTCTCTTGTCTCAGTTTCACAAACGGGGCTTGCGGGTTTGATGGGTATAACATTTAAATCTGGTATCACATTTGAACTGGACTTTAAACCAAAGTCGGCAATTGCTTCGGAAATAACGGGTATCACATCCTTTTTTTGATTTTCAGGTATCACGTTTAAATTAGGGTCTAACGCTTTTTCATTGGGACTAACGGGACTAACATTTTTCAGTTCTTTAATTTTGGCTCTTCTCTCGGCCATTAATTTTCTTTGATATTCTTTCTTTTTTTCAATATCTTTATAAGGCATAATGTTCGGTCGGGCTAACAGGGCTTAGCATCCACGAAGAGAGCAGTTGATTTTTGTTCTTTTTCCCAGTACCAATGATTAAAGGAATCTTTTTCGCTAGTCAATTGCTTTTTCCTAAATTCTAGTCACTTATTCCAGGTTTCACAAACTCCACACGAAATTCCCAAATCAACACAAACTTTTTTGTAGGCTGGCCTTTTGAGATGATGCTGGTGATAATTGTAAGCCATATTACGGTATTCTTCCGAAGTCAGATAAGCATGAGAGTAACCTTTGGCTCAAGCATCAGCTTCGCAATATAAATGACCATAACCATTTTTGACAAGATCAGCTTGATAGGCGGCTACTGTTTCATAAACTCCGTAACCAATTCCGTTTTTAACTTTTAATCCGCAACGGGCACAAAAGAAACTCACGCCCCGGAATTGATGGTATTCTCATTTCCAAAATCGGTATTTTTCGGAATCAGGAATTTCTTGGAGGGCTTCCGACCACGGTTTTCCGTTAATGTCTAATTTGTTAAGATTAAGAATGATTTTCTTCATAATCTTCTAATCTTTCCAGCAAGCCCGATATAGTTTCTTCAACATCGCCAAAGACCAGCAGGTTTTTTAAAGCTTGGAAAAGGCTCGTGATATCCGCCAGGTTTTCCGGGGTTCAGGAGTCCGCTTTTTGCTGGCAAATCTTTCTCAGTTCTGTAACATACTGCTTAATTTGGACTAAGTAATTTTCGCTCTCCGTAATTAGAATAATTAATTGTTCTTTTAATTTTTTTTGCAGAGTTATTTTGGTAATCTGTGTCATATTTTTTACTTGAAACTGTAATAGTTTTTGGTGGTTTTTTCTTCGCCCGTTTTTTTCAAATGTTTAATAGCGGCTTTAATGTTTTCGACATTATGAGGATTAGTCTTTCAAATTTTGTACTTACTCCAATGCTCTCTTTCTTGGAAAAACATAAATTCCAATTCTTCGAGAGTTTTCCCGAAAATAGTGAAAGCGTTCTCTTCTTGCTGGGGGGCTGTTGGTGGGCAGTTTCGTTCTTTCCGGAGTAATAAGAACTTCTCAATCCTCAATGTTCAGT